TCTGTACCTCTGAAACAAATAATACATTATATGTTAAAAAAAAAGAAGAAGAAGATAGCAGGAAGGGAAGAATGAAGGGGTGGAAATCAGAGGGGGAGACGAACCATGAGAGACTATGGACTCTGAGAAACAAACTGAGGGTTTTAGAGGGGAGGGGGATGGGGGGATGTGTATTAAGGAGGGCACGTATTGAATGCAGCACTGGGTGTTACACGCAAACAATGAATCATGGAACACTACATCAAAAACTAATGATGTAATGTATGGTGATTAACCTAACATAATAATAAAAAAAAACAGGAATTGGTTTTACAGCATGTTTCACTGCCTTCACTGGTGCAGTCTCCCGATTGCTTTTACTGGAAGAGCAAGCCCAACAAGCAGGTCCCTCTGCAGCATCTCCGTCAGACTCAGGGGAAGGGACGCAGGCAGTGTTGTTCTCTCTGGGCCACTCAGGGACAGAGAATATTTCAACTCATTCTTACCACTTAATAAAAAGGACTTGGGGACCACCTCAGGTCCCCATGTTCTCTTAGGAAACTAGTTCAAATCTTCCTCCCCCGTCGTGACTCCCTACAAATGGAATCTGCCTGGGAGTGGAAGGCTTTCCTGGAAGTTTCTGAATCTCTTCGGCATGGCTTTCAAAAGAACTACTCTGCTAACTGTTCTGAGGCTCGAACTTCGAGGGGTGAGGCAGGCTCCAGCTGCAGCCCGGGGGTCCTGGAGTCCGTTGGGGGTGGAAAGGAGAAGGCTACGAACAGCTGCTCCTCCCTCCTCACTGGGCCTGCAGAGCTGGGATCTGAAAGGTACCACAAGGCGCTTTAAAGTAGTTTTACACTTTGGAATAGAAGACGGATTTTGCTGAGGTTTGTGTAAAATGAGCTGCTTAGCAAATCACTGCCATCTAATAATAAAATCATGTTTTTTCTCTCTCTTTTCTAAATACATAGGTCTACCATTTAAACGGTGTTCGCTTTGGGCAGGTGTGACAACACCGCTCTGCAGCCTGGCCTGAATATGCTGTGGTCCAGGCAGGTGCTTCTGAGAGCAGATCAACTTTTTGGACAAGGGTTAAATCCAAAAGCGCCCACTCACTCCCCGCCCCCCGCTCCCTGGTGGTTTCTCCCCAGCTATGGGCAACCTCGGGGGAGGCCCAGGCGGCACCTGAATTAGTGGGGGACAGGAAGCTGAAAGAGCCCATACACGGAAATTCAGGAGCCAGGTTCCAAAGCCCGCCTCATGCCGAGGACAGGCCCAAACCAGCCAGGCCTAATGACCAGGGATACGGCTGAAGTCCTGACCTACCTGCGCAATGGATTGAGTGTAGACTAAATTGCTGCATCTGTCCATTTCGGGTATGGGCATGTGGTGTTTGTTATACGATCCTTTATATTTTCATTTTTTTTATTTTTCAAAATTAAAAAATAAACCAAGTGCCCAAAAGATTTAGGGGTTGGCAGTTGACTGTAAGATTAACAGGAGTCAGGGAAAACCACCGCCAGCCAGGCGCTCCGCCTCTCTTCACCAACCAGTTGCCTCATCACACCCTCCAGCATAGGCTGCTCTGTCCCCCCTCCTCATGAGGGCTTTGCTCCCCGGCAGCACCGGTCATGTGTGGTCAGACTGCTGAGGGGCAGGCCCCATGAGCACCCGGAAACAAGAGATGTGTCGTTTTTGGTCATCCAGTTCTGTAAGCGGCACAGTGTAACAGAAGGAGCATGTGCTTGGGGACCAGATGGACCTTGGTCAGACTCCGGAGCTCTGCTTTTCTCAGGCTTTGACTGGACGTGGCCTGTTCAACCTCCTGAGCCTTAGTTTCCACATACATAAAAGGCTAATGGCAACTGCTGTGAGGCCTAGATGTGGCTAATATGGTGACTAACCTAGGGCCAGCCCACAAGTCTTTGTTGAAGGGAGGGAGGGAAGGACGAGGGGGGAAAGAGGGGGAAGGGGAGGGAGTGAGAAGTACGGGAGGGAAGGAGGAAAGGAGGACAGACAGAGACTGTCTTTAAACCATGCCATTTGAGAAGCCGCTGAAAAAAGTGGAGCTGGTGCTGGAGAAAAGCATGACTGTCAGAGATTCATGTGGGACACATCCAGTGGGGGCAGCTTAAGGGGAGAAGGGAAAGAACTTTGTAAGGACGAGAGAATCCCCAAATGGAAAAGTGGACGGATTTGGGGGCAGCAAGCTTCCTATCTCTAGAAGGGTCCAGCTGAAGCCAAGGGAGTAAGGGAGGGACTGTAAGGGAGAGACTCCCTTGAAAGTTTCCCAGCCTTTATTCAAGGGGTCACTTTCCTGTTTGGGCCGTATTTGTTTACTACTGAACTATTACTGGCTTAATCTTTACCTTAAAATCATTACACTTTGGGGCGCCTGGGTGGCTCAGTCAGTTAAGCGTCTGCCTTTGGCTCAGGTCATGATCCCAGGGTCCTGGGATTGAGTCCCGCATCAGGCTTCTTACTCAGCAAGGAGCCTGCTTGTGCTCCCTCTTGCTCTCTCTCTCTCTCTCTCTCTCTCTGTGTCAAATAAATAAGCAAAATCTTAAAAAAAAATCACCATACTTTTCATTTACTTTTATTTTTTTTAAGTTTATTTTTTTAGTAATCTCTATACGCAACATGGGGCTTGAACTCACAACCCTAAGATCAAGAGTCACATGCTCTTCCGACTGAGCCAGCCAGGTGCCCCCACATATTTTTTAACTTAAAATCTTTCTCTAGCCTTAATTTGAACAAAATATCCATTTTTTAAAAATGGGTTTGATGTGATGCCTGTATTTTTATAATACATATAAATAGGTGTATTAAAATGAAATGATGCAGAATGTGCCCCACCTAAAATTATCTCCCTGACCGCTCTGAGAAACGTGCTCTACAGGATCTGAATCTAGACTAACTACGCTCCAGGGGCCCCTTCTGGATCTATGATTCTGTTATCTGAGGTTGCTTGAATATCGATGATGCTCTTAATCCTTATGGCCCTTTCTGGTTTCCCAAGCATGTTCTCTTCTGTGTCTTTCATCTAATCCCATGACAACCCTGAGGGCAGGCAGATAAGTCACAGATGGCGCCTGGGTCCTTGTAGCATGGGATGTGCCCAAGGCCCTCTAGATAGTCACAGAAGACCAGAACCAGGGCGCAGAGCCCCCACCTCTCCATCGTCTCCTCATGCTACTACCCACCGCTGCACAGCCAAACTCAAATCCATCCTTGGTGCTCTCCCAAATCTCATTCGCACCACAACCCAGATGTAAATCATGGTGTTTTATCCACCTAGGTAGCCAGATGCCAAGCTCTAGAGATGAAATTATGCCCGTCTGAGACCCACAATAACACTTCAGCAACCAGCAATGACCTACATTGTCATTTGGCCTTCTGGCCATCAGCAGGCCCCACCTAGAAAAGCTACCAAAAATACCAAAGGTCAATGAGAGGGACATTAAGAAGTTAAATACACACTGCTACTTCATGAACCCTCCAAGAGGGATGGCTGCAGAAAGCTGCCTTGGATCGTGCCAACCCGGCGCTCAGGGGTGGGGGCCCGGGGGTGGAGTCTCTGGGAGCAGGCGATGCCAATCTCATCACGTGCAACAGAAACACCACCCAGGAGACGGCAGATGAGCACCGAAGTATGCACGGCAGGCGCCGAGGGGTGCAACACAGCGGTCCCCTCACCTCAGCTCAGCTCTGTTGTCTGAAGTCGGCACCAACAACTGGCCTGCTCATTTTCACTCTTAACACCTGACTCTACCATCCCAGGCCGATAGCCTAGCCGTGAGGGCAGAGCTGCAGAGCCTAGAGTGGGTCCTCAGGAACCACTAGTGACACAACGTGGCTTAGACCAGGGCATCTAACCTGGAATCTAGGGCTTGTTTTCAGAGATCCGTGAATCCCCTGAATTGTATGCCCACTCTGTACACCCAGGCAACTTTTCTCTGGGCTTCTCACTGGCATACTGAAGAGGCTGTGACCCAATAAGGTAAAACCATTGCTCTGGTCACCAGACCCTCAGCCTTCTTGGCTGCCTTTCCCATGCAAGAGCTCGCTGGAAGTGGCACTAATATCCAGTGTCTGTGTACAGCAACTTCACAGCTTCGGCATCCTTGGAAGATCTAAACTCTGCTTAACCTACTATTCCTTGGGTTTTGTTATTTGCAGCCAAAAGCAGCCCCACCGATCCAGTACCATAAGGCCTAGTGGTAACACCAAGACGATGAAGGTTGGCAAGGCCTCAGAGTCCACCAACAAAATTCCTCTCAGACCCTGAATTTTCTGCATAGTCCCTAGACAATGGATACTTGCCAGATGCCCCAGGGCACAGGGTGCTCTCCCAGCTCCTTCCTCTGTCCCATCCCCACACAAGGGTAACTGCACCTCTTCCGTGCCTTGAGCCTGACAGGTACAGAACCTCTGCAACTCCGTGCACACTCCTGATGCTTGAGAATATTCCAGCTTTGCACATTTAGGTCACATAAGTGTGGTTTGTCCAAACTATACAGAGTGCATGAGCAGTACGTTTTCAATCACTTGCAGGGAGGAACACTCTGTGTGGGGGCATTTCATTGGTAGAACTGATTACACCAGGTGTGAGATATAAAGCAGAGGTCATGTTCCCTGAGAACTCACTTGATCCAGCGGGCTGGTCACCACGCAAATCTGACTTGATGTGAGGACCAGTCACCCCAGGAGCTAGCTCAGTTCATCCGAGTTTGGTAGTCCTCCCTGGTTCCAGGTAATCACTCAAACTCAGAACCAACCCCAGAGATCTGTCACTTTATAAGCAGCTCAGATCCACTCAAACTGTGAAATACCTATGGTTAGAGCTAATAATAAAAGTTATACCCGCCACAAAAATGTCTTCTGTAGGTGAAAGTATGAGTAGCAGAAAGTGCAAACTGCCTTTTGCGAGAGCAAAGCAGGCAAACCCCAGCCTCACTGGGGTTCAGCAGGGGGCTCTGATCCTCTTCTCCATAAAGAAATGTTGAGGCCAGGGGTCGGGGATGGGGGCAGTTTCTACCAGAGCACCTGGCTTACTCAACACCACCCGCCTCCGCAAGAGGCTGGCAGACCCTGCAGCCTTGAAAACCCCAGATCATCAAAGCCCAATACCTCCTGACCTGGCAGAGAAAGTACAAACTACACCATAAACCGCAGACAGAGAAACTCACTGGCTGCTGAGAGTGAGAACAGACCCAAGGTTGAAAACCAGGGCCCGAAACATTTTCAGCCCCAGTCAGCAGGGACTTGCAATTTACAGGAAATTAGGAGATTTATAAAATGTTAGGCAGCTCAAGTTTCTTCCCTAGGAAGAGAAGCAGAAGAAACTCTAAGAACTGTCTCCGTGAAGTGCTTTGTTCACTGCAAAGCCCCTGACACGTGTCAGTTATTAATACCAAGAGGTCACCACCCCACACTTCAACCAACCCGTGCTTGTCAACAGAGCAAAAGCTTAGGACAGGCTGCACCTGGAACCCTCAAGCCCGGACAGCCCGACTCTAAGGTGAGGGGCCTGAACAGCCACATGGTCTCAAGGTAGGATCTTGGGCAAGTTACTGATACTTTCTAGCCACAGCTTCCCATCTGCATGTGGGGATTACAATAAACTTCTGGGAGAGTCTCGTCAAGTAACCAGCAAGAGCAAGCACACTCTGGTCAAGTGCCCGGTCTGTGTGAGCCCTGCTGGTGCCGCTATTACAGTGGGGCTTCAGGGTTTTTGTTTTTTTGTTTTTTTTTTAAAGATTTTATTTATTTATTTGAGAGAGAGAATGAGATAGAGAGCACATGAGAGGGGGGAGGGTCAGAGGGAGAAGCAGACTCCCTGCCGAGCAGAGAGAGCCCAATGCGGGACTCGATCCAGGGACTCCAGGATCATGACCTGAGCCGAAGGCAGTCACTTAACCAACTGAGCCACCCAGGCACCCGGGGCTTCAGGGTTTTTAAGTAAGATCTCCCTTATTACTCTTTTGAGGCTAGAATTCTGAGCCTTGTCAGTCATTCTCTCTGATCAGGTCCAGGATAGAGTGTGTGTCTTGTAGATGCAAGAACCATTTAACTCAAGGAGGTTCGCTACCAGCAGGGGCCCGTGGGGGTGGTGGGGGTGGTGGGGGTGGTAGGGGAATCCCAGAGCTCTGAGATCAGGGCCCGATGAAGTGGCCCTTGTCCATCTCTCCAGACTCAGCTTTCTCCAAGGCCAGCACAGATCTCAGTTCCAGCCACAGAGTGTAATTGGGTGTTGAGCGCCCACGCTCCTGCCCGGCATCACCTCCTCTAGGAGGCCTTCCCTGACCTTCCACGCTGTCTGTCCCACAACCCCTTCTCTTCCCTGATCCTGTTGTTGACCACACTGCGCTGTCGCTCATTTTTTTGTCCTTACCTTCCCCGCAGAGCAGGAACGGGCACCGTGCCCCACTCAGTTGCCCCAGCCAGGTCCGGTCAATGAATGAGCCGGGCCCCAGTGGTGAGCAGAACCCCAAGCCCCGGGCGCAGTGAAGGGTTGTTTGTGCGACAGGCTGCTTTTTATTATTGAGATAAATTTGACAACACCCGCGGCGGATCCCTGCCCACGTTAACGCCATTTTAAAACGGGAGAAAGAGTACCCCGCCACTCCAGTCCTGCCGCCCACCCCCCTGCTGGTCCTCGCCGAGGCAGACAAGAAACCGAAGGGCGGTTCCATGAAAGGGGCTCTTTGGGCGGTGGACAGGCCCTCCCCGCTTGGGGTCTCTATTGTGGCGGATTTCTCGATCGCACAACGTTACGCCGGAGCCTGCAATGGGGGGCAAAAGGCCGCTCCCCGCCAGTCCCCGGGCGCACTCGCGAGTGCGGCAGGGCCCGGGGGCGGCCACACCTCCCGCCCGGAACAAAGCGCCGGGCGGGACCCTCCTCCCCTCCCGGGCGGCTGCGACCACTCACCCCGCGCTCCAGCCCCGGCTCGGCTCCGGCCCTCAGGCCGCCTCCTTCATGCTCGCGCGACCGAGGAGGCAGCGCCGCGCCCGGCCGGCCCCACTGCAGCCGGACTGGCGGCTCCCG